AGGACGAAGAAGAGGAAGAAGAGGAAGAAGAGGAGGAGGAGGAAGAGGAGGAGGAGGAGGAGGACGAGGAAGAGGAGGCAGCTGTGGTGGTGGCAGGGTTGGGAGCTGAGCCCCCAGTAATTGGTGGGAGCGGTAGAGGAGCTGAAGCCAGCAGGGCCTCTCTGAAGAAGGGACTAGAAGCAGCCAGGACACTGCGGTGAGCAGGGAACTTGGTGTCTCCAGCTATGAGGGTGACGTCACAGAAGAGGCCACGGAGCCGCTGCTCGTTGAGCTGGCGCAGGACAGCGGGGGCATGGGACGGGTCCGTCACCTCTGCTGGGGGGGGCATGGCGCCAGCCTAGACAGAGAAGAGGCCAGGGAGGATCTCAGAGGCAGGGCAGAGGGTAGAGGTCTCTGCAATCAGGGAGGTGAGCTGAGAGAGGTTGGAGGCTGTTGGTCAGAGACTGGTGGAAGGCTGACTAACTTCTGGTGACAGAAGCCAGGGGTCAACCTGAGCCACCCCACATCTGGCCAGCGTCCAATGCCAGTAAGTCACACGTCTAGTGCTGGAAGAGGCCAGGGATGCCTCAGGTCTTTTTTTCACCATTTTGCGGGGGGTGGGGGGGTAAGTAATTAGGTTCACTTACTTATCTTAATGGAGGTACTGGGCATTGAACCCTGGACCTCATGCATACTGAACATGCACTCTACCACTGAGCTGTACTCTTCCCCCACTGCCTCAGGTCTTGATGAAGGTCAGGGGTCAAAACCTCCAAGGCACGGACTAGCGAGGTAACGCACTGGGAGGAGGAGGCCCCCACAACTGCTGATGACCATTTCACAAGGCTCCCCAGCCTGGACACAACGGCTGCCCTTGCTGGCCTGCTGCCTCATGCCCATTTTCCCTCGCTGCGGACCTCTCACACCATCTCACCTGACAGCACAGCCAACATGGAGCGGAGCCGGGGTGGCTCAGCGAGTCCCTTCTGTCGGGCCTCTTCCCTCTGTGGAGAAACAGAAACCACATTCTCAGGAAGGGAACTGGGCAAGACAGGACGCAGGGGGTGGGGGTGGCGCAGCGCTCAAGGCCAAAGAAGCCAGGGCTGCTCTGCAGACCCTGACCCTCCCAGGAGCCTGTCAGGTTGCTTGCTTAATTAGCTGCAGCCAGTCAGACCTAGGAGGTCACACAGGTTGTTGCAAAGCCTTGTTCTGCTTGCCCCCAGAAGTATAGGAACAAGATAATTTGCATATTCCCAATTTGCCTCAAAACAATCCAGCAGCCTACTTCAGCCCCTAGGCCCAGGGAAGCCTGCTGGATCACTCTCAAGTCCCTTTGGCCCAATCTTCGGGGCTCAAAGGAAATCAAAGATTTGCATGTTGTCTTTCATTTTAATAGTCTCATTTACATATCAAAATAGATTTGCTTGAGCTTTTTCAATGGACCAAGCTGCCAGATACTCAAATTGGGAGAGGACCTCTTCATTTGAAATCTTAGAGGGAGTTTCTGGCCTACGTGCCAGGCAACCACCAAAGATCACGAACTCATGCACACGGGCCAGCTTGCTCTAATCTCTGGAGGGGACTGGAAAGGCCACTGGACCGGAAGTGAGGAAGTTTGAGTCCCACTCCTTACTTTGAGTGCTGGTGGCTTTGGGACTTTGGCTTAAAAATGGGGGTGGGAGTGAGGAACGCAACCCCTACCTCACCTCTTGCTGGGAGGCTCATCCAAAAGGAATAGCAGGCACCCCACACGCACACCGTGGCGGTCACCACACAGAAAGCACCTCACAGCCGCTTTCCCCTGTGGGCACAGCCAGGGCTTTGGGGGTTCATTTTTCAGTTGAAGATCTGAGTTCCACAGCCATACAGGAACTTAGCCAAAGACACACAAAGCTGGTCGTAACAGGCGGGGCCTGTTCACAGGCCAGGCCTGCTGACCCGAGAGCAGAGCTTGCTGCTCCTTGTCCACCCTCTGTGAAGCCTGGGGGTCTCCCTTCCGCACGCCCTGGGTCATCCATGACTCCGAGGTGTCCTACGTCAGGAGTTCCTCATACAATCCCCCCCTCTAAAAACAAAACGCTCTCTTCCCATTTATTACTCATACTATCTAGACTAAGAGGACTCCACAGCCCATTTCACACCCCCAAGAGACTGTTCTGACTCCTGTCCTGGAAGAGGAGGTGGAGGGTGGTGAACAGGGGTGATATTCCAAAGTTCTAACAGCCCCAACTGCCATGCACACACCTGGGTCAAGTGCTACCATCCGTTGCTGGATTGCAAGCAGGTAGGGAATCCTGGGGAAGAGGCCCTGCTCGAGGGCTGGTGTTCAGTTCTGGTTGTAAAATGAGGAGAAAGAGCAAGGCTTCCCACTCCCTTCCAAGATAGCCACTAGCCCACCGGGACCCCCAAGAGTCGGCTTTACTTGCCTTACCTCATTTCTTCCTAAGGTAGCAGTTAGCTTCCTGATTTTAAAGTGACAGACCGAGGCTCAGAGACACTAGGTAACTGCCCAATGATACATGACCAGTGAGTAGCGGGGCTGGGATCTGATCCCAGAAAGTTTGGCACCAAAGCCTGTGTTCTTGATTATATCACATCGAGATGAAGGCCATGTTTACAGCTATGATACTGTGATATCATATGAAATTAAGTTGACCCGTGAACAACATGGGTTTGAACTGCTCAGGTCCAGTTCCATGTGGATTTTTTCAACAGTAAATACTACAGTTCTACATGATGTGAGTTTGGCTGAATCTGAGAATGTGGAACTTTGGATACAGGGGGCCGACTGTAAGGCTATACTTGGATTTTTCACTGTTTGGAGTATCCGCATCCCTAATCCCCACATTGTTCAAGGGTCAACTGTATATATATTTGATCTTTGTCCCCATTCCTGACTCAGAGCTCCTAAAACTCTAATTTCCCAAGTGATAGGGATGTTAGGAGCATCTTGTTCTGATATTTGGTCTTTGACCCCAGTTCCTAACATAAAGCTCCTGAACCCTTTGGAATTTCCTGGGTGATAGGAGCATCTCTTGTTTTAATGAGGCAAATCTTGCTGGGCTTGTGGATGGGGACTGGTCACCAGAAGCCATGGCTGGAAGCTTGGAACATTCAGACCCACCCCCACCAAAAGGGCCTGGGAGGGGAAAGGGCCTGCAGACTGAGTTACTAATTGATCATGCCTATGTGATGAGGCTTCTGCAAAAATCCCTAAATTATGGGGTTCAGAGAGCTTCCGGGTTGTTAAACTCACACACTGAGGTCATGGACCTGCACTTTGTAGAGACAGACGCTCTTCCACTCAGGACCCTTCTAGACCTTGCCCTCCATACCCCTTCACCTGGCTGTTCATCTGTACTGACAAATCCTTTATTATACAATAAACCAATAAACATAAGTATTTCCCTCAATTCTATGAGCCATCCTAGCAAATTATCAAAACTGAGGAGGGGGTCGTGGGGAAGCCTGATTTCTTGCTGGTCAGTTAGGAGTATGGGAGGCCACGATTGGCACCTGGCGCCTGAAGTGGGGGCCGTCTTGTGGGACTGAGCCCTTAACCTGTGGGATCTGATGCTACCTCCTAGCAAATAGTATCAAAATTGAATTGAACTGCAGGACACCCAGCTAGTGTCAGAAAATTGAACAGTGTGGGGGAAAACCCCACACATTTGGTGTCAGAAGTGTTGTGAGTAGAATGGATAGAAAACAGTTGTGGTTTTCTTTCAACAGCATCCACTAGGACCCCCCACTAGCCCATCCAGGGTCTTTGTGAAAATCAGAGGAAGGGGGGAAAACAGGAAAGGCCGCCTCCTCCATGAGGTAGCAATCCACAGGTGAGCACAGCAAAGGTCTGATTCCAGGCCTGCCCACATGCACAACCATATGGGCTTGGTGCCTACCGAGGCCAAGATATTTGGACAAGGCCTATCAAGGCTTCTTAGAACCACAGAAGTCCGAAGCTGGCTTGGCCCTTGGAGATCACCTAGAACCATCATCATCATGGTACTTGGAGCTGCCACTGCTGAGATACTTACTATGTGCCAAATCCAGTGCTAAGCATTTCATCAACATAGTCTCATTTTAGCTCCCAAAGGGACCACAGAGCGGCAGGGGCTAGTATCAACCCCACTGCATAGATGAAGAAATTGAGGCTTTAAATACTCTAGACTCCTCACTTGCAGGCAGTGAGAACATAGTGGTGGGGTGATTTGCCCCGGGTCTCACTGTGTACCAAGCTGGGTTTGGATCCAGCTCTCCTGAGATGAACTGCCCCACCACTAGCCACTGCCCTATGAGGGCTTATGGGAGTTGGAGAAGACACTAGTTATGGGGCCCTCGCCAAGTTACTTAACCTTTCTGTATGTCGGTTTCCTTGTCTGTGACGTGGGGATGATGAAAATTTCCCACTTCGTAGGGCTGTTGTAAAGAATAATCCAGCTGATGCCCAGCAGTGCCTAGAAAGGGGCCTGGCCCACGGTAAATGCTCAGGAAGTGCTCGCTCTTATCATCCTGGAACTCAGTCCTGGAAAATGGTGGGGGGAAGTGGTGAAGAGCAAGGGGCAGAAATCAGGCTTCACAGTACGTTTGATGGCTCTGTGGTTTTTAGTTTTTTAATTTGTTTTCACCTTTTCTCTACTCTTCACTGGCTGTGTGATCTCAGAGGTGTGACTGAGGTGGGGAGCTGAGCGCTGCTGCCAAATACACTCCACCTCTTGCTGGTCCCTCTGCCTGGAATGTTCTTTCCTCAGACAGCCCCATGCCTTGCCGCCCCATCTCCTTTAAGCCTTGACTCAAAAGTCACCTTCCCCCGGAGGCCCTCCCAGCCACCCTGTGCCCCATCAAGCTTCCTCTCTCTCTCCCCTACTTTATTTTCCTCCTTGGCATTTAGTGAAACATACTGTTCATTCATCTCTAGAAAGTAACTTCCAAGGGAGGGAGGGATTTTTGTCTGCTTTGTTAACTGCTATCTCCAGTGCTTAGAACAGTGCCTAATACATAGTGGGAGATGAAAACAATTTTTGGTAAATGAACCTACTTTCTTCAAGTCTGCCTGGAGTGTGTCCACCTTCAGGAAGGACACCATCTTCCGTCCTGGACTGAGCTGGCCCAGAGCTGCGGGTGGCGAGTGTAACTTGACCACTCCTGGGGCGATCACGCTTTGCCTGATATACTTCCAGGGCTTTACATGCGTTGCCTCATTTAATGGTTTCCTCAAAACGGCCACCCAAAGTTAGTATTTAGATTAGCCCAATTTTACAGATTAGGAAACTGAGGCTCACAGAGGGATTTACCTTGCTCAAGGTCACACAACTTGCGGGCAGCAGAGTCAAAATTCAAATCCAGGCCTGAGTGAACCCAGATGCTGAGCCCTTCCCTCTGCCACACTGCCGGGTCCTGCCCGAAGAGGCCTACGGCCAGCCAGCGGGCTGCCGACGTCACCGCACAAGGTCTCACGTGCTAAGTGCTAACTGTGTGGGGAGTGAGGGACTCCACCCTCTCCCTCACTCCCCGCATCCAGCAGTCTGGATCTGCGGCCCAGCTTGGGAATGGCTCTGGAAGCCTTCCCTCTAACCCGCCTCTGGCCCCAAATTAGCTCAGGGCCTTGTTAACACTCTCCTGATTCAAGGCCATGGCCTCCCAGCTAGTCCCCTGCCTCCATCCAGCCTTCCTCTCACTGAGGGTCAACAGCCCCAAAGCAGCTCAGGTGGGATCACTCCTGGGCTCAGCAACCTGCACGGGCCTCCACTCCAGAAGCTCAGATTCCTCAGCCAGGTATTTGAGAGTCCAGTCCCCCTCTTCCTTTCTAATCGTGCCTTGTGCCAGTCTCCCTTCAAGCACCCTGCACGCTCTCCAATCTCAACACGTCCCACACCTCCACACCTTTGCCTCTGCTGGTCCTCCTGCCAGAAATGCAACCTTTCCCCAACCTCGTCCCCAAATCCTTCCAAAATGTTAAGATCGACCTCAAATATCACCTCCCATTTAGCCCTCCCTCACCTACAGGACAAGGACAATCTCTCCTTCGCCCAGTTCATCAGCGTTTTGTGGCCCTGCGGCCAGCACCCAGCAGCAGATGCTAGGTTCTCCCTCCCTAGGCTGAGGCTCCCTGAGTCACTAAGCACCCCAGTCTTCTAGAATGGATTGGTGCAGGTGCTAAGTTCTGCAGAAATTGGGCAGAAGTTTGTGCACATGTCTGTGTGGGGTGCACCAAGAGGCCCACAGAAAGCTCCAGAAGGGCAGCAGAGGACAGCATATAAGAACACAGGATCTGGAACCTGACTGCCTGGGTTCAAATCCACCTTTACTTCTTACTGGCTAAGTGGCTTTGAGCAAATTACTCCTCCGGGCCTCGGCTGTCTCATCTGAAGAACGGAGGTAGTTAGAATTCCCCCTTCCACCTCGCACTGGGAAGAGTAAATGAGTGATCAAATGTAAAAGCATTGACAACAGTGCCTGGTACACAGTAAGTGCTAAATAAGCGTTTACTCCTGTGGTTACTAGCCAGGCCCCAAGAAGTGGCTCAGTGCTGGCAGAGGGCTGACGGTGGCTGCCACAGGCCCCCAAGCTGCCCCTACTTTCCAGGACATTTCCCGTGAGCTACTTATAGCCCTGTTGGAAGACAGGCAAGCCAGGTGATTGGCCCCATTTCACAGATGAGGAACTGAGGCTCACGTAGGGAAAGTGCCAGTGAGGAAGCAGCACGGCCTAAACTCCTCAGTGCAGGTCTAGGCCTCCTTCCCCTCCACTGGGCCGTGGCGCACTTGTTGTGTAGGCCTGACAGCAGCCAGCCTGCCCCCAGGCAGGAGGACCTGGCCACAGTGTCCTCCCTGCCCCCCATACACGCATGCTCCCAGCCAGGCAGGTGTGGTACACAGCAGTGGGTACACTTGGAACACACACACACACACACACACACACACACACACACACACACACATTTACAGAAGGGCCCAGTCCCCAAAGGTGAGGAAAACCTGTTCTGAGGAATCTGCCTAGCGAGCAGATTCCGTTCCCAGACCCTTCCACAGTCGCGGGAGCGGCCCAATGTGCGTCACAGAAGAGACGGAAAAGCAGAGATACCCGAGAGGGGGGCAGAGAGAGGGCGAAGCAGGAGGAGGAGACTGAAAACTTCATGTTTCTTTTTTCCATTGCAGTGACAAGAGTCACACCCGGCCTTTACGTAAACATGGCCAAGGAGCCACTCGGTCCAAGCTCAGTTTCCTTGCAGCCACCAGGCCTCTCCTCCCGGTGACCCTGACACGCTGGGCGGGCCGGTGAGGGGCCAGCACACAGACCCTGCACAGACCAGCTGGGCCACCCCGACGACACCCAAGCCTCCCGCCTGCTGCCCTTGCTCTGCCCCATATTTATCTCCCTGCCTTCTTCATAACATATCCCCACAGCAGCCCTACACAGCCAGTTAAACACACAGAAGCAGACACGCACACACAGCCTGCGGTTGATCTCTGGAGTCTGAGGCCCACATTGCCCTTGTCACGCCACCTCCCTCCCCACAAGTGTTTTCTGACCAGCTTGCCTCCCAGCCCAACAGCACGGACAGGCTCCCACAAACAACGTCACAAAAGAATCCCGCAGGGAATGTTGCAAACACATAACCTTCCCCTCCCCTCACTGGGCTGCCCATGAGCCCATAAACACAACGTGCACGTGCCCCCCGGAGCCCCTCATACCAGCACCAGCCGTCTCATGAGTACCTGAGACACACCCTGGGGCTTCTCACTTCCCGCAGGACCCTCGGGACCTGAGTTCTAGACACACACATTCCCCACCCACCCAGCCACCCGCTTGTCACACGGACCCACAAACCCATCCAGCGGGTCATCCACGCCAAGACTGGGCCACACCTCAGCAGGGCCACAGAAATGGGACCCGGACCTGACACCTTCTGACTCAAAGGTACACAACCGCCCCCTCCAACTAGGCACACACAGCCCCCACTCCGGTGCCCTCCACAGCACTTACCCTTACCAGGTATGCAGAAAACAACAGTTCATAAATAGTTCATATGTGCAGCACCAGACACATACATGCAAGAAACACATGCTGGTATAAAACACACATAAAACCCCACATCTAACAAACTCCGCAGGTATTGCACCCTGCTTTGGATGCGGACCTGTCACCCAAAGCCGCAGGGCCACATCTTGTAATTCTGCCCCAAAACACTGGACACCCCTCCATCTGGCTTTCTATCCCCGTGGCCCGGTAGGGCCCTGCCGGACCCCTAGCTGCCAGACCAGCAAACAGTGGTGCCCAGGAGTGGTTTACCTTGCCCCACAACACAGCAGGAGACACACAATCTCCAGGACTCACAGCCACAACCCTGACCCGACGGCGCGGCGGCTCCGGGGTCCCTGCTCGCCCTGCGCACCCCGCACACCCCAACTCTGGGGCGCTCGGAGGCCCACCCCTCCCCCTCTCTGCCTGGCTCCTACGCCATCGCCCTCCCAGCAGCTTGCAGCGCCGGCCCGGGCTCACACCCGCCCCACCCCACCCCCAACCTGCCCCACGGCGGGAGGGGGACATGGGGCTGCAGAATTAACCCTTCAAGTGGGGAGTGAGCGCGGCCCTTTCCAGGGCCCCCAGGCGATCGCAGCCCCCTGCCGCCGCTGGGTCGGACGACG